GATAGAATGAGATAGAATGAGATAGAATGAGATAGAGTCAGATAGAGTAGGATAGAATGAGATAGTGATAGAGATGGAGAGAGAGATGAAGAGAGAGATGGAGAGAGAGATGGAGAGAGAGATGGAGAGAGAGATGGAGAGAGAAATGGAGAGAGAGATGGAGAGAGAGATGGAGAGAGAGATGGAGAGAGAGATAGAGATAGAGATGGAAAGAGAGAGAGAGAGAGGGAATTTCACCCTTACTGTTGGGTTGGTTTGGTGTAGCTCCGACTCGCTGGCCTCAGTGCGGCCTCAACCGTTTGCCGGCCTACAACGTGCGTTTTGTCTCACTCGTGTGTTCTCTTATTGTCTCTTATTGTCTCTTCAACCCTCTTTCACCCTGTAGATCACCAACGTATTGTCATCAAACTGGTACAACCACTGCTCAACGTATTTGATGATTTCTTGGGGGCGTCGGGGTGTGGATTCGTCGGAATCACTCAGTTCCATCCAACGATTCATCTACTTGTTTCAGTTACATTCAGGATAAACAGTGTAATTTGTTAATTACGTACCGGTTGCTGAGTTGGACTGGACGGGGTACGTTTTAAGAGAGTAATTCAGAGTAAGGGTGAGCTGAATTTTTTTTTCACACGGTGAGCACATTATTTTGGATTATTTATGGTTATTGTTTGGTTTTGGTTAATATTTCGTGGATGATGGGGTAATTGCTGAATTGTTACTGATTGGGATTTGATATCTTGGGGAGGGAGGAGGGGGAGGGAATCGATGTAACTCGTGGTATTGAGAGTGGTATTCACTTGTCCCGGTGTCAGGTGGTGAAACACCGGATGTGTACGAGTATTTCTTCGGTATTAACACAGTGGGGGGGAGGGGGGATGTTAATCAATCCAGTATTGTCGTCTGATATTCAACAGGAGGATGAATAATTTGTTATATTCATTACTTTCCGGGGATTGTAATGGGTGATTATTTCATGGATACAATAGATGATATTCAATACGCCATTGAAAAGCGATACAGCGGAGATTGAATTTCAAGTTCTCGGTTGAATTAGTCAAGCCAATTACGGTAATTAGGTTGTACAAATTCGTAATGGGGTGAATTGTGGTGAGGTGAGAGGAGGATGAGGAGGTGATTCAATTCAGGAAACTTCTCCACTCGATCACTCCGTGTGCGATGATGTTCCTTGGGTTTTTTTGGGGGTGGGTAAAATAAATTGTTGAATTGGCCACTTCTGGTACTGGACGACTTCCACTCTAACTTTACCCAAAGTTTTTGTCACGTACGAATAATTGCCACTTACGTCGCCCCTTCCTTGAGGTACCAGTGGCACGCAAACCATCAAGACAAGGGGAAAGGGGAATAATAAAATGATAGTTCAAGTTGTGGGGTGATGAGGGGAAAGATAGGGGCGGGG